ATGCAATCAACTGGTTTTCCTGAGATAGAAAACTTTGTATCAATTTGATTGTATGATCTGGTTGAACTGTAAAGTGCCTTGAGATGACATGTGTTGTGAATGTGGCGCTATATAAATAAACTGAATTGAATTGAATGTTATATATTGATGTGCATAATTAACCATAGTGTTTTTGTTGTCAAGTAATTGTTAATATATGAAAAAATTTAAATGTTTTGAATATTCCACTTGAGATTGCTGTTGCCACCATCTGTATTAGCAGGAAATAAATGGTGGGGGGTGGCCATCCCTGGCCCCCCATCTAGCTCCACCCCTGTCGAATTTTGTTAGAACCTGAACTGATCAGCATTGGTCAGAATGACTCTTGGCTGGATTATCAATGCTTCGCCTAACAGAACCAATGTGTTAAAAACATTTTTTTTTTTATAAAAGTTGTTGAACCTCAAACCATGATGAAGATCAGAAATTAATAAATTCAAACTTATCAATGGAAAACGATTTGACATTGACGCAACACTGACGCACAAGAGACGCAGACCACGCATGCAAGCCAGAGTACCCGGTGAGAACCCACGATTCCAAAGGGAAACGTATAGATTTTATCTAAAGTAATTGGCATTTTAAAATAAGAGCTGGGACAACACATAGATAACCTCACCATCGGGTGCTGCATACAGTGCAGGTACAGTGGTTAAAGCTGCTACGCTTGAATCAAATGAATAGCACAAAACTAGTTAATAGTTCTATATATATGAACACCAGAGGCGCAAATATACTGCGACTTTTTAAATGGATAATCGCATTTGTTAATCCGCCTGTCCCTCAGTTTCAGATTAGCTACAATGACTGGATCAAGTGGCTCATCTGCAAGCCAGCTGATAAACAACCAGGCGTCCGGATCTTACATATGTCCCAAAAGCTGCAAAGCTGCCGCTATAAGATCAGAAAGCTGTGGGTACCTGCAGGTGAACTTAACCGCCAGAATGAGCAGGGCGCTGAGAACGATCGCCCCGCAGAGAAGGTCTGGTCTCCGAGCCATCAGTAACAGCACCTGACGGAGAGACTGCCGAACCCGGCGCAGCATTACCGCCTTAGGTCCGCACCATTTATACGCCCCGGATGCCGCTCAGCGCGTTCATTTGGCTCCCAGGGGAGGAGGGAGACTGGTTCGACCAGGGACACAGCGAGGCTGGATTGGACATGGGTGCTGTTAGTTGGAAAGGTGTTCAAACACAGCCAGACCAACCTTTCTTCCCCACGTAGACTTTTTACTTCCGCTACAAGGGCTTCGGGGAGAGTCTACAAAGTGCAACAACGGCTAAAACGTGCATTATCATTAACCTTTATACTTCATGATTGTGGATCTTAAACATTATTTAAGCCTACTAAACTAGTATCGAAGATAAATAAATTAATTATTAATAACTATATTTTTTATTTGTCTTTGTAGGTACGTTTGTCTTTTTTTTTTTTTTCAAATTCCTCTGCACTTTTTTTATGACAGTCCCTAAAACCTTATGACGTCAGTGACGTGGCAGTTACGCACACTGTCATATTTACCTTCTTTACACACCAGGGGCGCTAGTCTCATTAAACTCAACATTCTAAATATCGCTCATAATTACATTTTACATTGACAATGCGATCTTTGAATGTTTTAATCTTTTCTTAATATAAATAAATCTGAAAAATACACACCTAAAAATAGCAATGAAATGCTAACGATTCCACATAAATACATTTTAAATAGATTCAAAGATACAAATTGAAGTAAACAAAGTAAAAGACAAATTCTTTTAATAAAGTCTGATCAGTTTAAAATATAAGAAGAAAAATTGCCTTTAAGGCACTTCGTACACTAAATTATGCATACATCTTAGTTATATAACTTTCCAGGGTTGTGGTAGATGGTAATGTGTATGTTTTAAAATATATTTTTGTACTCTTGAAGGTATTTTCCACATAAAAAAACAATTTATTTAATTCATTCAAGAACTTATAAGAACTGTCACAGTGTTGAATTTCAAGTGCAAATAAATTTATAATACAAATTTTATTGGTTTGGTCCAACAACTAAATGAAAAGATTTTTTTACTGAATAGTAAAAGATGTGCAACAGTATTTATCAGCAGTAAAAGCAACTTAAAAAAATAACAAAATAAACATTTTTTGAACTCAGCTTTACACATTTTGCAGCAAAAGAAAACATCTGATCTTTAAGTCAACACCTGATTTTTAAGTCTTCAATATCTGAACAGAATGAATGCTAAGATATGAACGGGAAACGTTAACACAAGGTAATTTCAAAAAACTCTTCAAGTTCTATAGATTTGTGGCAATAGGACCAGCATTGCAAAAAGATGCAAAGTACCTCTAAATTCAAATCAAATATGATCCTTGAAGTAGCTGTGTGTTGCATCCTTTGATTATAATTTCCCCCAACAACCCTGACAACAGAATTCAATATATTATAAAGATATGAATCTTGTATTGAGTCTTCTATAGTGACCATTCATTTAGTATTCACTGAATTAGGCATGCTTGATAACTCTTCAATGCCAGCAGTGCTCAGTTCTGACTTAAATGTGTTTAATTGTCACTGGGATACTACAGGCATTGTGGTTTTTAATACACAGAAGACATCCAGGATCGTAGCAGTGATCCGCCGTTTCTCCCATGACAGCTTGGAGTCTCTAATTTCTCACACTGTATGATGTAGCAAAGACAGGAAGACAGTAAATCAAATAAATTGAAGCCAGTTATCGGAATTTACAGCTAAAAATGAACAAGTTGGGCGGAGGTTTATTGAGTTTGCTGTCAACTGTACAGCATTCCTCAGGCAGTGACATATATTGTCTGTTACCGCGCCTGCGTTTCAGGGTGCATCAGCTGCTGCACCACCAGGTCTATGTTAATGATGGGGCTGAAGTAGAGAGCCCAGTAGAAAAGGCAGTTGCACACAAACTGCGGGATAAAAGGCCACATGAGAGCGAAGGCGAATCCCTGAGAGAGCATCTTCCACAGGTGGTTCCACATCTTCTGAGGCAGCGACCTGCAAACAAGAGATCACAAATATTAGCTAGCATTGTATAATGTGCTGCTCCCCCTCAGCAGATGTTTAAAAACCTAATTTTAAACACCCATCCACCCTTATCCATCAGTTTCACTGAGGGCTTCTACCTATAACCAGCAGTCTATGGACAAAGGGTGGGGTACACACTGAACAGGTCACCGGTCTGTCGCAGGGCAACTATTTTTGAACATATAACTGATAAACAGTTTTTACTTTTACAGCCCTTTAGCAATTCAGGGCACTTTAATTCAGTCATTCACTTCCACAGTAATAATTGTATGCAACACTGTAGCCACAGCTTCCTTAGGCCAATCTGACAGAAGTGAGGCTGACATACAATCGTTTCTTCTCTCTGACCATCAACAGCAGGAAAGGCAGGTGAAGTCACAATGAAACCAGCAAACCAGTAGTTCCAGGTTAAACTTCTGCTCTGGATCTGAATTTTTTGTGAAATCCGATTTTTTTTTTTGCGTGATTACGCTTCCAAATATATGTGACTTGTATGTGATCTCCTTTGTGAACTGCATTCATACAATGCAGTAGTGGAAGCAATGACATCACAAGCAAGCGGAAAGCAAAGAAACCACTGCCCCAGTCCTGTTTTAAAGTGACAACCAAAGCACCTGTCCAGCTATGTGTGTCAAAGCCATAGAGAAGGTCAATAGGATCCACATGTCTGTGGGAAGCTGATACTACAGCATAACAGGCCCCTTCTGCGTGGAGTAGAGTGAATGCATACACACCTGATTATTTTGTTTAATTTTTCATTCTGTGTTGGTTTATAGTTATTTAGGCTTGATTCTTATTGCCCACAGTAAAAGGTAGATTAGGCATATTATTAAATAAACAAAATTTCTATGATAAAATTCAAATTATGTTATTAATTACTCATGAAAATTGTTTACATTTGGATTACCAGTGAGAATGGTTAAGTTATTGACATTAAAGTATCATAAAGATGGTTTGCTTCACAGCTCTGCCCAACTGTTGCTATGCTAGCTTCTTCTGCTGCAAAAACAGAAAACAAACCACAGAGAGATTTATCTTTGGAAGTACCTGATTGGGGCTGTCGTCCAGAGCCTCCACAGAGAGCAAGCCTCAAGGACAGAGAGCAGCATGGCGTTGACGATGATGAAGCGGGACGTCCAGTAGTGGACGGCCAACCAGTCCCATGCAAACTCTGCAATCAGCTGGTATGGAAGAACCAGGTATTTCACCAGAAACTCTGCCCACTGCTGCCAGCTGGGCTCCAACTAACAGAAACAGGAATATGGCGCAGAGTCGTTATGACCAATTCGAAAATAATTAAAACTATAAACACAGATCAGGCATGTTAATGAGCAAGTATCGCAAAGCATGAAATGGAAAAAATAGCTCCTCTTTTTGGTAAAAATAATCTAAACTGGATGGTTTCCTATTAAGGACCCTGTTTTTACAGCATATTTTCAAATAGGGCTGAGGGTCATAGCAAAAACACAATGTTAGCCTGTTTTATACATCCCAACACTATCCCGAACTGTATCCTAGTTTCAACCTTCATGTTGATCATATAAGCTAAAGAAATGTAATTAATCTAACTTTAATGCCTGGCTTAAGAAGCAGCAGTCAGTCCTGCCGGTTTCAACCCCAGTTCATTCACCATGTCCACTACCTCCTGGTCATCAGAGGCCCCACTTCTGTCAATGTGCCCAAGGACAGCTGTGGCTACAGTGTAGCTTGCCACCATCAGTGTGTGAATGAGAGTGTGATGACCATATGGCAAATCCAAGTGCAGCCATTTATCATTTTACCCTCCATATTGTGCACTTTACTTCCACCACTGAAAACAAATTAGACCCATAGCACCATGCGGTCCCCATCTTGCTTGACAGTTGGTAGAGTTAAACAGCTAGTATCACGTTTTTTCTCATCTTACCATAAAGTTTAAATGAAGGCTTCTGGCCCGTCCATCTGATCAGCTGCTAATTTCAGTCATACCACAAATTTTACATGGCAACACTGTCACGAACATTAGTTTCCCGCTTTGATTAAATTAAACCGAACTTTTCAAGTAAAACTGTACCTCTCTGTACACGGCACACCTATGGTGATATTAGAAAAAGCCATCCTCCATAGGATGCAATTAGCCTATAAAACGGCCCTAAGACTTTTTTTTTTTAATAAAACCAAGATACAAAAGTGGCAATGAACTGTCAGTATATAAGCGCATTGATGGCTATTTAAAAGAAATTTTATGGACAAGTTTATTTGTTGATAGAATAGATTTAACAATAGGATAATTATGTTTGTGACTAATAGAGATGATAGAATCCAGTTTTT